TGTTGCTGGATACATTGGCATAGTTGTTCAGTGAAGGTCTGCCAAGGCGGTTGCCGCAACCTGATTTCATGGCCGAATTAAACCGGAATACCCAACGCGTTGACGTGCGTGGAAGGGTAAGGGTATCGGTATAGATAAACCGGAAGTATCCCTGGTAAATAGAGTTTGCATATTTGCAATTGGTACTGTCTGCATAACGCGGACAATAAGGACTGGCATTGGAAACAGAATCTGCATGCAGCTTTAATTCCATGGTGGTAAACTTGGTGCGGGCAATACTGTCAATCACATCAATCTGCGGATTCAGATCATAGAGCTTGGGAAACTCAGAGTCGCCGCAGTTACCGTATACGATCATAGTTACCCGGTAAGTATTACCGGTAAGATGGGTGTAGAACAGATCAATTCCTCCAACGTGCCCCGCTCTGCCGAGAAAAGGAGTCAGTAAAAGAATAAAAAGTAAAATCTTCTTCATCTTGATTAAAATATAGTTGTTGGTATAAGTAAGGGGTTGCCCCGGTCGTCCCGGGACAACAATTGCATCATGTATTTACTGCCGCAGATATTAGATTAGCGGATGAGTATGACTTCGCCTTTCTTGTCAAAGAACTCGCCATTCATACACTTGTATTTCAGGTAGTAGAAGTAAGTACCGCCATCAACCGGCTTGCTGTTATAAGTGCCGTCCCACCCGTTGCCACGCTCGCCGGACAGGAAGATGGTCTGGCCCCAGCGATTGACTACGCGGAACTCAGCCGTGATCTGGTTGCCTACCGTTATCATCCGGAAGATATCATTCCGCCCATCGTTATTAGGTGTAAAGGCATCCGGCATAAATACTTCACAGCAAGGCTTGGTATTGATCTGGATACTGTCCGTTGTCGTGCAGCCATACTCGTCTTTTACATTCAGCAGCACCTGGCCACTCTTTAAGATCTTTCCTTCCGCAGTGGCTGTATGACGGTTAAAGTAGGCAGCAGGCAGCCATTCATAAGTATAGTCATTGCTGGGGGTAGCCGCAAATAGCACTGCATCGCCCGAACAAACATCCTGCTGGCTGGCAGAAAGGATTTTAGCGTTGGGGAATGGGTGCACATAAACGGTATCCACCGTCACAATAGAAGGGCAAAGTGAGTTTTGGGTGGAGAAGCGGATGATCTTATAGCCGGGCGTATTGAAGGAAATATTGTAAGGCCCCTTTCCACTTCCATCTATAATATTAGCACCCTGGAAATCCCAGTTGTAGTTAAGATTATAGCCTACTTCTTCGGAGCTGTTCAGCCATATCTTTTCGCCGATACAGGCATCCGGCTGCACCTGGAAGGAAGACGCTGGTGTGGGCAGTACCGATACCGATTTCTGAACACTGTCGGAGCAAGCCTGGTTAGCGGCATGCATCGTAATATAGCGGGTGCCGTGTTGTGCATAGCTAATCGTATAAGGTCCTGCGCCGGTGCCGTTGTTTACAATACTGCTCACCCCGAAATCCCAGCTATAGCTGGTAGTGCTGCCGCCGGTACCTGTTGATGTAACCGTGATCTGCTCATACTCGCAAATAGAAGTCTTTGATAAGGAGAAATCAGCCACGATTTTGGGCACCACATTCACTGAATAATTCCCTGGAAGGCTTGGGCAGGAAAGGGTGCCATTGTGATATGCAATAACAGCATAAGTGCCGGAAACAGCTGGCTGCGCATTCGGGATAGAAAAAGTCTGGGTATTAGCTGTAAAGCCATTAGGGCCAGTCCAGCGATAAAGTGTATTGGCATCAGAAGCCGCTCTTAGCTGGAGCTGTGAGCCTTCGCAGATAAGCGTGTCGCCGGAGATCACCGGCGTGCGTGGTGTGCTTGCTACAATTACATTCACCGAAGCCGGCTGCGAGCT